GGCTGTGCAGCGTGAGGGGCGGAGGGCTGTGCAGCGTGAGGGGCGGAGGGCTGTGTCAGGGCTGTGTGGGTGACAGGAGTGTCGGGTGGTGACGCCCAGAGGCCACGAACTGGGGCGCAGGCAGGAAGCTGCGGGCGGCGGCGGGCTCTCACATCATGAAACAGTTGATGTCGGGCTTGCGGCAGATGCAGTAAACCGGCGCGTTCTCTCCGTTCTCCCCATTGTCGCCCTCCATGCTGCTCTCGGCCCCGGGGGCCTGGTCCAGATCCGACACCTCGCTGTCCTGCAGGGAGAGAGGAGGACAGGTGACCGCGCTGGACTCCCCTGGCCGCTCACCGCCGTGAGACCGAGGGAGAGGGCTGCCAGAGCTCTTGCAAACGGTCAGCCATGAGCAAACCAGAGCCCCCTAAAGCAGAAAGCCTACCTTTGCTCGCGGTTCTGTGACGGGTGAACAATTACAGGGCTACAGCATCACACCACCTGTCTGACTGCACACGAAACAAGCGCTAACATTACTTTGTTTCTAATATCTGACAGTTCTTTAAATGTGAACAGTTCGGTCGCTCAGATAAATATCGCTTTCAACTGGCCTATCAAAGCAGCCAACAGTAACCGTACACAATGTCTGATCCGAAAGCACGACCTTTTCTAAATGTGAAACAAAACAGAGACCAAATGCAAATCTATGAGCGATACGTTCACGGGCACTAACGTATAATACAGATTTTCAAGAGGAAAGGACTCCCCGGTTGCAGTCATGCTGTGATCTACTTTCAAGACGGGTTGAAACTTTCCAATTTAACATTTAACAAAGAAAGGCGACCTGGTCGTTTTACGTAAAAAAAAAAGATTAGCTTTAAGAGCGGAAAAAGAAACGTGTTTTTCACAGCTGTAACTACAGAGAAATGAATCGTTTCAAACTATGAAGCTCAACCACCTCACCATCGCAGGAAACACGCACGGCCGCCTCTTCCTTCTTCGGATAAAGAGTAAGAATGATGAAGTAAGGCTATTAGCAGGTAAAGAATAACCAATAAAAAAATAATAATCGTCGCAAAAATCCCCCCCCTTTCACTCAAAATAAACACAAAACGGGCTGTCCCGACAGCCTCCTGACTTCCGCTTCCGGTTCAAACCACCCGTCTCCCCACATAGACGTATTGCCAGACTGCTCGTTTGGAGAACCGTCGGTGTCTCTTATATCAATAGAATATGCTCCTAAGGGGAGAAAAAAATGTGTTTTTTTTACAGACTGAGGTTTATGATTTCTATTATGACGAATGAACATGTTTCTATGTTTCTATATGAAGAATGGGCAGCGGTAAACACCGCCCTCTAGTGGCCGGAGGGTGTATGACACCAGAGACTGCGGGAGCGCTAGGCTGCGCCACCTGGTCGCCTCCGCTCGGCCGAGCTGTCGGACTGGACACTGGCCTGGGACAGCCGGCAGGCGGCCATGACCACATAACATAAACGCTAATTGTGTGCAGAGTAGACTAAAGCACATTAATGAGCAGAAGGACAGGAAGGTGAATAATTATCATAAGCATTCTTCCTTTTTATTAGGATCCCAGTATGAAACGCAAATCTAAAAATCTGCTTCTCAGC